AGGTGTTAGTCACCAGCACCTGGCTGTATAGGTTCTTAATTACCCTAAATGGAAGTATTTAACCACTTTTGGATTTATCATTCTTTTGTGTGTGCTTTTTAAAAGTGCTGCAACTGTATACTTCATATTTTGGAACAGTTCCCTCCATGATGTTTACAGGTCTGTGGTTTTCAAACATAATCTCACTGAGTACATTTAGTTTTAGAAGTCACATCTCTGATGGGCTGTATCAGAGGAACGAAGTCTAGAATGTGTGTATTCACCATGACATACATTTGTGCCTTGAATCACTCTGGGAAGTGTCTTGGAAAACTTGGACAGTCCCTCTATTCTTCGTAAGAGTTTATATACATACTTATAAAGATGATTCTGTACCCTAATAAACATTTTTGGGCATGGGACTAATTTGTATCTCTTCATACTCATACTCTGCATGATCTGTCTATAGTACATCAAACTTGGACGTATAGCCTTAAATTAACTTTTTTTAAAAACACTGGGGTGGGGGGGTCCAATAAAATTTAAACTGCTTGACAAAGAAAGAAAGAAAGAAAAAAAGAAAGAAAGAAAGAAAGAAAGAAAGGAAGAAAGAAAGAAAGGAAGAAAGAAAGGAAGAAAGAAAAGGAAGAAAGAAAGAGACAGCTATCAAGTACTACTCTGCCAAGAGTTTAAATCAATATAATTCTCACAAGAAAAAGGAATGCATAGTCTAAATGTTTAAAAGGAAGGAAAAACACCATATAGTATTGACACCAGAGCTCACCTTCTAAATACTGTCACTGGGGCTCTTCTGCTAGTAAACATCTCCTAGGTGTTGGCTACGGAAGCAGTGAAAGCTCATCAAGCAGTACACTAAGGATTTATGTACTTTTCTGTCTGAGTGATAAAGGGAGGTGTCAGGAAGCTGTTAAAATAATTAACATAAACAATACAGCCAGGGTGGTGATGCCAACTTGGAATCACAACGTTCCACTTACTAAGAAAGGACTCTCAGAACTCAAGGCCAGCCTGAACTTCATAGTGAGACACTATCTCAAAAAAACAACAGCGCGCTGGTGGCTCACCCCTGTAATCCTAGCTACTCAGGAGGCTAAGATCTGAGGATCACGGTGCAAAACCAGCCCAGGCAGGAAACTCTGTGAGACTTTTATCTCCAAAAAAGCACTAGAAAACCAGAAGTAGCGCTATGGCTCAAGCGGTAGTATACTAGCCTTGAGCTGAAGAGCTGAGGGATAGAGCCCAAGCCCTGAGTTCACGCCCCACTTAATGGGGTACAGCACTGGCCAAGGCCCTTGGTTCAATCCACAGCACAGCAAAAATAAATAAATAATAAAATCAAGCCGGGAGCCAGTGGCTCATGCCTGCAATCCTAGCTACTCAGGAGGCTGAGATCTGAGGATCATGGTTCAATGTCAATCCTGGCAGAAAAGTCCATCCAACTCTTTTTTTTTTTTTGGTCGGTAGTGGGGCTTGAACTCTGGGCCTGGGGTGCTGTCCCTCAGCTCTTCAGCTCAAGGCGAGCGCTCTACCACTTGAGCTACAGCGCCACTTCCGGTTTTCCGGTGGTTTTATTGGAGATAGGAGTCTCAAGGTCTTTCCTGCCCGGGCTGGCTTTGAACCCCGATCCTCAGATCTCAGCCTCCTGAGTAGCTAGGATTACAGGTGTGAGCCACCAGCGCCCGGCTCATCCAACTCTTATCTCCAATTAACCACCAGAAAACCAGAAGTGGTACTGTTGCTCAAAGTGGCAGAGTGCTAGCCTTTAGCAAAAGAGCTCAGGAAGAGCACTCAGGCCCTGAGTTCAAGCCCCAGAACTGGCAAAAAACAAAAAACAAACAAAAACAAACAAAAAACAGATTTTCCCAGTCCAAGCTATTTTGTGATGGAAAAAAATTCATGTTTTCAAGATTCATATTTAGATATAAATCATTTCAAGATTCATACTTAGATAAAAATGTGTTATTAACTCTTTTAATTTTTTTTTCCTGTCAGTTATGGAGCTTGAACTTGTGCTATTCCTGAGCTCTTTTGCTTAAGGCTAATGCTCTACCACTTTGAGCCACAGTGCCATTTCCGGTTTTCTGGTGGCTAACTGGAGATAAGTCTCATGGCCTTTCCTGCCTAGGCTGGCTTTGAACTGCGATCCTTAGATCCCAGCCTCCTGAGTAGCCAGGATGACAGGTGTGAGCCACTGGTGCCCGGCTATCTTTAATTCCTGTGACACACCAGTGCACAACCCCACAACAGTGATCTACTACTACTGTTAGTCCTTGTAATACTGATAAAAATCTAAGGATCCACTAGAAAAATTTGTACATTAAAAAACGCACTTGGCTCATCTCGCTTCCCATAACTCTTCCAACCTCCCCTCCCTTCCAGTCAGTGTCTCTTCACCACTGCAATGGTCTGTGCAGAAAGGTAACTTCCAGTTGCTGAACAACTATTTCTTCTATTATGTAGCTGGGTGTTTTCAGAGATTAATTTAGGAACTGAAGGAACCTTAACTACCAATGGAAAATTGTTTTCTCTCAAGTTCTGATAACTAGCCACCCTCCCCCACCCCCTCAAATGATGGGGTTCCCTTAGGATTCTTGCATTCAAAAAAGTATTTAAAAGTATCTGTTAAATTTGTAACACTTAATTTTAAATCAGAGACAACAAATACCTTATAGCTTCCTTTGTCTACAGAAACTGAGTCAAGAGGGTGTCTGGGAATTTACATGGCAGCTAGAATCCAGAGGGTCCCAACTTGCAGAGCAAAGCTAAACTTACTGCACATTATACAATATTTTTATCGTTTCAGTGGATAAAATTACTCATTTGCTCATTTACTTTGCTAGTTTGTGGCAAAAGAAGTTGGTCTATTCTTTTTATTTTTTGAGGTCGGTCTTGGGGCTTGAACTCTGGGCCTGGGTGCTGTCCCTCAGCTCTAAAGCTCAAGGTGAGAGCTCTACTGCTTGAGCCACAGCACTACTTCCGGTTTTTTAGTGGTTTATTGGAGATAAGAGTCTCATGGACTTTTCTGCCCAGGCTGGCTTTGAACCGTGATCCTCAGATCTCAGCCTCCTGCGTAGCTAGGATTACAGGCGTGAGCCACCGGCGCCCGGTGAGGTTGGTCTATTTTTTACTATCTCTAGTGCAATTTAATTATTGGAAAGTTGAGAATAAACTTTTAAAGAATATGATTATATGAACTGTACAGACACAAGCAAACCTGTGTATAAATGGTAACATATCACTATAGCAAACTCTAAATTCAAGCTAGTGACCTAAAGGCTAAGCAAGCCATTAACCATTACTAATTTCCCAAGTAAAGGTATCAGCATACAGCAAGGCTGAAGTCACTGTGCAGTGACAAGGAGTATTTCAAGGGTAAACTTTTTTTTTTTTTCCAGTCCTGAACTTGAACTCAGGGACTGGGTGCTGTCTGAGCCTCTGTGCTCAAGGTTAGCACTCTGCCACTTGAGCCACAGCACCACTTCCAGCTTTTTTCTGAGTTTATGGGAGACTCTGAGGTACTTTTCTGCTTGGGCTGGCTCTGAACCCTCATGCTAAGATCTCAGCCTCCTGAACAGCTAGGATTACAGCCGTGAGCCATTGGCGCCTGGTTTCAAGGATAAACTTCTTAAATAGAAACAAAGTGCAACTAAAGTGAAATGACCAAGTGTTTTAGGAAACATGAAGAGCCTCTCACTAGTTTGCACAATTAACTATTTTGAGAGAACTATTTTAACATGTATTACAACACCTTGATACTCAATTTCGGCGGTACTGACAGTCAGGTACTGTCTCAGCAAAGTTGTCATAAAATGTTGTTCTGGAATGCATGGGAAACCTAGCAACCACTTTCAAAGTTTCATTTGCCAACCTCCTTGCTCTTCGGCTCAGGACCTAAACATAGTTAGGAATGCAATAATCATCCATCTTTGCTACTGACAAAAAATCATGATTGGCACTGCCTCCATTTGTCCAAGTGAAATGTTTTTTTAGATGCACAGTACACCACAATCTTGTTCTCAGACATCTTAGAATTAACTGTGCGCGCAGGACAGTGGGGTACATGGAAGGCCTTACTCTGAGGCCTGTTCTTGCACTTTGCTGGCAAAGAAAAATTCTATAACCATCTAGAAGTTACTAGAACCGTTTGACACGCGGGAGGGGATGGCTGGAACCTTTCCTTCCTCCCCATCGCACCTGCACAGCCAGGTGATCAGCTCCCCTCCCCGGTAAGGGTGGGACCCACGGAAAGGGAAGGGCAAACCCCGGCGGGGTGTGTGCCGTAGGCCAGCCGGGAGAACCGGAAGGGAGTGGAGAGGAGAGCGGGCGGTGGAGGGCCGGGCCCCGGGGCCGCTCGGGGACTCGGAGGAGCCGGGCGAGGGAGGCGGCCGGGCGCCGCTGCGGCCCGAGGGGGTGTGGCCCAGAGGCCGGCGGGCGCGGGCGGGCGCGGGGACCGGGGGCCGGGGCAGCCGGGCCGCCGCGGCCTAGCGCGGGCTGCGGGCGGAGCGGGGGGGGGGGGGGGGGGGGAGAGCAGGGCCGGAGCGGGGCCGGAGCGGGGCCGGGGCCGGGCGGAGCGGGGCCGGAGCGGGGCCGGAGCGGGGCCGGGGCCGGGCGGAGCGGGGCCGGGCGGAGCGGGGCCGGGCGGAGCGGGGCCGGGCGGAGCGGGGCCGGGGCCGGGCGGAGCGGGGCCGGGCGGAGCGGGGCCGGGCGGAGCGGGGCCGGGCGGAGCGGGGCCGGGGCCGGGCGGAGCGGGGCCGGGGCCGGAGCGGGGCCGGGCGGAGCGGGGCCGGGGCCGGGCGGAGCGGGGCCGGGCGGAGCGGGGCCGGGCGGAGCGGGGCCGGGCGGAGCGGGGCCGGGCGGAGCGGGTCGGGGCCGGGCGGAGCGGGTCGGGGCCGGGCGGAGCGGGGCCGGGCGGAGCGGGGCCGGGCGGAGCGGGTCGGGGCCGGGCGGAGCGGGTCGGGGCCGGGCGGAGCGGGGCCGGGCGGAGCGGGGCGGCGGCTCACCTTTGAAGAAGCGCAGCGCCAGGCCGTACAGCTCCTCTAGGCCGAAGCCCCAGCGTTGCTCCAGCCGCCGCGCCTCGGCCGCCGCGCCCCCGGCCGCCGCCTCCCCCGGCTCGGGCTGCGGCCCCGCGGCGCCCGGGCCCCGGCCGGCTCCGGGCGGCGAGGGCGGCGGCCGCGGGGGCGGCGGCAGCGGGGCGCCCTCCGCGCCGGGCCGCTCCTCGGGGTCGGGGCTCAGCGTGAGGCCGTCTACCGACACCTCGAGCCGCTCCGCGCTCAGCACCGCCGCCATCTCCGGCTGCTGCGCCTCCTTCGCGGGGACAGGCGGCGGCCACGTATCGACTTCCTGCTGACCTCTGACCTACATTTGCCAACGCCGGAACTTCCGCCGCCGGAGAGCGACGCCAGCCTGGAGCTCCGCCCCCGAGCCCCGGGCCACGCCCACGCGGCTCCGCCCCGCCCCCAGCTTCCGGCGTCCGGGGCGCCCTCTGCGTCCGCGCCGCGGGGTCGCCGCGGGGTCGCCGCGGGAGGGCGCGGCCGCGCCCCGCCTCCCCGGCCCGGGCGCCGGGGCCAAGGCCAGGTTTCCAGAAGCGTCTATGGCTGGGACTGCGGCGCTGCTCCCGGGCTGCCGCGTCCCCGTCGGTGGTCGGCGCCGCTCGGCCCGGCCCGGCCCTCGGCCCCTCCGCTCCGGCCGCGCTCTACCGTGAGCCACCGCGCACTTCCGCCGCCCGCCAGGCAGGCGCCCACCGCGGAGCCGGCTCCCGCCCGGGCCTACTCCTGAGCAGAGGCCGAGGCTGGCGGGTCCCGCGCCTCCCGGGGATGGATGGTAGGCACGGCAGCCAGCCCCGGCGCCGCAGGGTTGGAAAACACCTCACAAGAGCGCACGGTGAGCCTAGGACTCGAACTCAGGGCCTGCCACACACACGCGCACGCACAGTGGGGGGCCTAGGACTCGAACTCAGGGCCTGCCACACACACGCGCACGCACAGTGGGGGGCCTAGGACTCGAACTCAGGGCCTGCCACACACACACGCGCACAGTGGGGGGCCTAGGACTCGAACTCAGGGCCTGCCACACACACGCGCACAGTGGGGGGCCTAGGACTCGAACTCAGGGCCTGCTCCAGGCTAGCCTACCACTTGAGCCACAGCACCCCTTCTGCCTATTTTTGTAACTAGTGATAGATGAGCGTCGCACAGTTCTGCTTTTTGACCCGCGGTTCTCATATCCCAGGCTCCTGAGCAGGTTAACCAGCTCCCAGCATCAAGGTTTCACTTTTGGTTTTGCTTTGGTTTTGTGTGTGTGCGCGCGTGCCTATCCTGGGGCTTGAACTCAGGCTTGGGTGCTATCAGCCTCCTGAGAAGCTAGGATTACAGGCATGAGCTACCAGCACCCAACAGGAATGGTTTTTTGAATGAATGAAGATAGTCTTACATCATTTGAATGAACATATAGTATGGGGGTCAGGGGGCTTGTATATCTGGGATGGTAGGAAATGCAGAGGTGAGCGGTATGTGTTGTCCAACCCCAAGGCATCATGGTCTAGCAGGTGAGACCATGCACAGTTTAGATTATGTCTAGGATGGCCAGGCTGCCAGTGCTGGAAGCTATTGCCAACTCAGTGACCTTGAGCAGGTGACCTCTACGAGATGGGTGGAATAACAGCAGTATCTACATCTTAGTCTGTTGAGAGGCCTGGATCACGAACATGCATGGTAACCAGATGGTAGATCTGCACTCTGCCAATTTATGTTAGATCCATCAGGCTGCTGCTCTTATTGTGTTTCCTTTTATTTTTTGGGGTCCGGTTGTGGGCCTGAATTCTGGGCCTGGGCGCTGTCCCTCAGCTCTTCAGCTCAAGGCTAGCGCTCTACCACTTGAGCCACAGCGCCACTTCCGGCTTTTTTCTTTTTGCTTATGTGGTGCTGAGGAATCGAACCCAGGGCCTCATGCATGCAAGGCAAGCGCTCTACCACTGAGCCACCTTCCCAGCCCTCTTCTTGTGTTTCTGTGCTGCACTGGGGTACCTTAGACTGGGTGGCTTAGGGGTAGCAGCACAATGTATTTCTCACAGTTCTGAAGGCTGGGCATCTCGCTGCAGTCTACCAGGAGGGAGGAAAAGGGAGGCCTTGGAAGATTTGGGTTTTGTATTTTTAATATACTTTTATTATCATTAAGATGCTGTATACGGGGCTGGGAAGGTGGCTCAGTGGTAGAGCGCTAGTCTTGAGTTGAAAGCTGAGGGACAGCGCCCAGGCCCAGAGTTCAGGCCCCACAACCGGACCCCAAAAAAAAGGTGTTGTATATGGGGCTGGGAAGATAGCTCAGTGGCAAAGTGTTTGCCTTGCATGCCTGAGGCCCTGGGTTCAATTCCTCAGCACCACATAAACAGAAAAAGCCAGAAGTGGTGCTGTGGTTCAAGTGATAGAGCACCAGCCTTGAGCTGAAGAGCTGAGGGACAGGACAGTGCCCAGGCCCAGAGTTTAAGCCTCATGACCAACAACAACAAAAAGATATTCCCAAAGCTGTTCCACTGCCCGGAGTCTGCAGAGGATCCAAGAAGAGTACCTAGCCCAACATTAGAGCACCCACGAAGACTTCAGGAAATTCTGTGCACTTCTTTCCCTCCCTCTCTCCTTTCCTTCTTTCCTTCCTTCCTTCCTCCCTGACTTCCTCCCTCTATCCTTCCTTTCTTCCTTCTTTTAAATAGAAATAAAAATAAATTATATATAAAAACAAAGATGCTGTATATAGGGATTACCATTTCACAATTCAGGTAATGTATACATTTCTCTCTTGGACAATGTCACCCTTCCTGTGTTTGCCTCCAGTTTCCCCTTCCTGTCCCTGCCTAGTTCATTTTCTACACAGTGTATACTGAATACTGTGGATACCTTGATTACATTTGTTTACCCTTCCTCCCTCCCATTCTGTCCTCGACCCCTTTGCCCTCCCTGAAAAGCAGGGGGGAAAAAAAAGGTATACACCATCACCACCACCACCAGCAGCAGCAGCAACACATACTGGGGCTTAAACTCCGGGCCTGGGCACTCTCCCTATGTGTGTCTGCTCAAGGATGGCACTCTACTCTCTGAGCAACAGCTCTGCTTCTGGTGCTTTGTTGGTTAATTTGAGATAAGAATCTCACAGACTTTCTTGCTCTGGCTGACTTCAAACAAAAACTGGCAGATCTCAGCCTCCTGAGTAGCTAAGATTGCAGGCATCGGCCATGGCTGCATGTCTGCTCTGTGGTACTTTTATAAAGATGACTCGTGGGTTCAGCCCACGTTCCCAAGCCCAGCTCCCGACGCTCTCACATTGGCCGGGCAGGGTTCAGCACATGAACGTAGGAGTACCTAAACATTCAGCACTACAGGCATTTACCTAGAAGAAAGAGCTCCCCTCACCTTCAGGCAGGTTTGGGAAATGCTTCAGAGGGAACACCTGTCTCTGATCACCAATGTGCACTTGGGCATTGGAAGGATGAGGAAGCAACACCCTGGGCAGAAGGTGTCTGTGTCACTCCCAGGCTGACAGAGCCCTGGGAGCTCAGTGAGGCTGGCCAGGCAGGGGAGCTGGGGAGGCGGGCAGGACAGAGGGTGCAGGGCCTAGCGGGAGGGCCAGAGAAGCCTGGGGAGGGGAAGCAGAGGCTCCTTCCAGGGCTGTGTCAGGAAGTGCTGCTGTGGTCAGGCTGGCAGTTGTGACCTCAGAAGGAAGGCTGCGGTCACTGACCAGGAGAAGACCATGCAGTCCTAGGGGAGAAACAGGAAGGGGAGACGACAGGAAGAGATGGTTGGCCAAGTGTCACAGACCGCAAGGCCCGCAGAGACATGGAGGGAGGGAGGGAAGCCGCCCAGCTCCTGGGGCCTCTTGGCCCTCTACACCTTTAGGGCTTCCATGCTGCGTAGATGAGATGCGATTCTCTTTTCTCTGTGAGCGGGCTCGCCGTCCCTCAGGCTGGCTTTGAACCTCTAACCTCAAGTGTCCTTCCACCTCAGCCCAAGTGGCCAAGCCACAGGTGCACACAGCTATGCCTGGGCGCTGTCCCGGAGCTGCTTTTTGCTCAAGGACAGTGCCCCTTCCAGCTTTTTCTGTGTATGTGGTACAGAGGAATCAAACCCAAGGGCTTCATGCATGCAAGGCAAGTGCTCTACCACTGAGCCACCTTCCCAGCCCTTAAACCATTCTTAAGGCTCACAGTCCATTATGAAATTGTATGTATTTTTCATGGTAAGAAATAAAACTGTTTGGGCACTGATGGCCCACTCCTGAGATCTGAGAATCAAGATTCAAACCAGCTCAAGCAGGAAAGTCCATGAGACTCATATCCAACTAATGACCTGAAAACTGGAAGTGGAGCTGTGGCTGAAAATGGTAGAGTGCTAGCCTTGAACAAAAAAGCTCAGGCCCTGAATTCAAGCCCCAGGACTGACAAAAGAAAAAACAAGTGACATTGTCTTAAGAAGGAGCAGGGGAAATGGGAAGCCATAGAAGAAAGAAATGCAAGTCAATAAATTATATACACAAGAGGATACAATGTATAACTAATGTATACTAATAAAAAACCACTTAAAAGTTTCCTATAATCTCCTTCCTGAGATCTAATATTAACAGCTCAGAAACATTTTTCCATTTGTCTTAAAATATTCATAAAATCCTATAGCGGGTATCACTATTAAATAGTATTTTCTGATTACAGAGCACCAAAAAGGCTCGAATGTTTGGGAAAGCGATTCATTCCAGGGATGTTTCTCCAAGGCTGGTTATTAAACTTTCTTGTGACTCAGCTCCATCTGCTGGCCAGAGAAGGAAGTGCTTTACATCCTGAGCAGGACTCAGTTGGCAGCCCAGTGTTTCTGGGTAGGATCGGCAGTGGTTCTCCTGGGCCCAGCAGGACCTGGCCAGTGATGGAGGCAGCGGGTGCATGGTGTGGCATCTCTGTGCTCTGTGCATGGCTTCTGTAGAGCGTGAGCCACATGTCCGCCTTTCCCCCTCTGCTGTAGGCTGAGCAAGAGCTTTGAAGAAGGTGCATCCTCTCAGGACCAGGTAACACATGTGGACAGCATCTCAGCAGCGGTCCACTGATTTATGTGCTTCACACACACGAGATCTCACTCACCTCTCAAAAATCTCCTAAGGAGGTGTCGTGTCGTTCTTTGGAGGAGAATCCCGGGGGTCAGGGAGACCTTTGATGACTGAGCTTTACTTCATAGAAGTGTGCCACCTTGCACAGCTATTTGTACAGCTTTGGAAACAGACTGTCCTATTACCGTCCCAGCTAGATCTTGAACAGGACACAAGAGCCTCCAGGCCTGTGTCTCTATATCACAGGACATAACAACTGCA